TTAATATAATAATTCGCTTTCAATGTCAGACAATCGTACAAAAACTTCGAGTGTTTCAATTGCATAAAGCCAAAACAGAAAGAAGAGACGAACCCCCTTGCACTTGAAGCCCGAAGCAATTGAAGTGTAATTGAAACGAATCGACAATTTGAAATATTAAACACAAATATGCCAAAAAAAATATGTCTTTTATTGCTCGCTGACCCGCTCCGCCACCCTTGTCCATGGGAGCGCTTTCTTGTCTTGTTTGTGGCTGCCGACACGACACTCACAAAATTGTCCAAATTACAGTGTGAAATTAATTCAATTGGGTTTGTGGTCGTCACACTTCCAGTTAGTCAGTCAGTCAGTCAGGCAGACAGACGCCAGTCACTCTGAGAGTGACGAGCCAATTCGATTTCGTCATAACCTGACCAGCATCAAGCACATCCCCAAATTTTGGATGCGAATATAGCGTGCCAAATGGAAGAGCCTCAACCTTGAAAACATATTGATTCAATGCCCAACCATAGTTCGCGTTTTTCTGCACCCGCAAGATCCCAAACGGCAGTGAAATTGGGACGCGAGAAATATTTCGCATACCTAGACGAAATTTCCGTGTAATTGTGAAATGTGGAATTCTCAAGAAAAATGCCGAAAAGTGCATCCAATCAATAAGCCCAAGGTTACCAATTTAGCCAGTAGACGCGGAGATGGAGACCCTGACAATCAAGGAGAAGAGTGCAATTGGTTATTGTTTATAATTCAACAAGTTCAAAATTCCCATTGGCATTGGCGTTTAAACAAAGACAAAAGCCCGTTAAAAGAATCAAGAAAATAAATAAACTTTTTTAATGAACGAAGAATGTGAAAATCTACAGGAGACATTGCCTCGGAAAATCTTAATGAATTTCACCAATTTGCTTACCATGCAATTCATTTGATTCGGAAAGGAGCGATATTAATTTTTGGAAAATATTGTGGGACCAACGAAACCCGATAAAACGAAAATATGCTGAAGGTTTACTAATTCAAAGATGACTATTCGATGACGCGGAATTGATTGATATTCCATTCGCAACTTTATAGACAATAAACTGGCATTCATTGGGGTGTCTTGCGGTTTATGCGAAAACTTTCCAAGTTCCCCAAATAGCTCCTCTCTGCCACCCTCACACACCCAGACCGCCATCACTTATCAGCAGGGCGTGTGACGAAACAATGAATCTGTCCCCAAATTGAACAATGTAAAATCGGTCGATAACATCTGTGATAAGGAAGTTACATACTCGTACATACACGACTAGGTTGCGGTCGGCATTGCTTTGGGGCTGTACTTGAACTACTTTCGTGTGCCAAGTGTCCCTCCCCTGCCTGATGGGGCTGGGTCTTGGTCTTGGTCTTCCGCATTGGATGATTGGATGTGAGTTGGAGTGGTCGATTCATAAGCATATCGGCGCATGACTTAAGCACTTTGGTATGCCAGTGTGTACTGCCAGAATACCAATAAAACGCTTTTGGCCAGAGCACACATAATGCTAATCGTGGAGTCAATTAAACAGTGGCATAATTATGTATAAATATCCGCTAATTGATTGGCCAGTTAATGTCAGGCATAGGCGATGATAAGCCAGGCATCTCATTCACTTCATCGAATGACGTCTTAATGACTTTATTGAGCGACGAACTCATGGAATAGATTGTCATCAGCGTGTCACGTTCGATTGAATTGCAATCCCAGGTCTCGTCACATCGTGTCAACAATCACTCACACATACGAGCATCCATTAGTCACTTAATTTCAGTGGAATTTAAATAATCTCACTAGCTGCACCTCCCCTTTAATGTCCTATCTCATCGGTCTTAGTGGAAAAACTAAGTAATCTATTTCGGAATAATTAATCAGATAAGACACAAATGTAGCATGGAGAAAGGGGAATTACTTGACTTTTTCGCTTTCGAGGCATTTATTCCCATTTGTGTATGTGGTTTCCATCAATCTCTCCATGGCTGGCTGGCATTAGGCCTTTGTCCGCATTCGGCCAGAGATCGTAATTCGGCTGGGGCCGGCCTGCACTGACGGACAGAAATCGCTCGTAAAATCCAAGTTTAATGTCATGCAAATCATGTTTCGAGGCGACAGAGCGACTTAATGTCGTCTGATGGATTTATTTCACACATTGTAGTCCGATTTGTTTCCCATTCAGAGCTGGAGGCTTTGCTTTTTAATTATATCCGCTAATGTTTTGGCCTATTTCTTGTAGGGCTTGTTTATTCAGCCGACTCTGGATTAACGACATGATTCACTTCGTCTTCTCCATAATTTTCAATATTTAAAGCAAATAATTTGCGATTATGACTCACGGTCAAGCGGGGAGGTGGCACTTGGGAATGTTACTTCCTGTTAGCATTTGGAATTCTTTGGTGAAACTCGGATTCTCCGGCGATTCATTCACCGTATTCACATTCATTGAGACACTCCGAGGGGCTCATCGGTAAACAAATAGCTACTGACGGCATTGCCGGTGTCGTATCGCTTTCAGCGATAGCCGCCCCAATGGATAATCCCCAGACGACGAGAAAACTCTGTTAACTGCAGGGAACTGAGTTGTACTGGGGGCGTCTGAAATTTGCAATTGCGAATCGCTGGATGATTGTTATGCGAAAAGCAGAAGCAGCCCATCGGTGTCAAGTGAATTGGCAGACAGATTAGCGATGATCACATCCTCAGCAAATGGAATGATATCTTTGGATATTAGTTTGCAAATCTGAGCAGATAGCTCTAAGTGATTGACAGTATCGAATCGATGAGGGTGTATCAATTTCAAACCAACTGACAAATTCGAATTAATTCGATTTATTTGTTGACGGCCTTGAACCCGAATTGGGTCCAATTATCACAAGTCTTATCAATTTCGCTACTAGATAACAGCAAGCCAAACAGAAACAACTGCGCACAAAAATTCGCTCAGGAATTTGCACATACTTTTGGCTCTTAATGATCTCTGACCTTATAGGTGGGTTGCTTGCCATATCATATCCGTGCCCAGCGAGAGGAATACTAAGCACACACACCCACACACGCCACAGAGTAACAGTAACATAGGCCACTGTCTCTCCCTCGCTCACTCTCTCTCTCTCTCTCTCTGCTTTCATGGTGCCGACAGTTGCCAAATTCGGGAAAACATTTTGCCCCCCAAAATACCTTGACGCGGTCCCTGTTAACTTAACGGTAACAGCACGCTCTCACTCGCTCTGACTCTCTCTTGCTGCTTCTGTTTGAGGCCATCTCTCTCACAGCCTCCACCCACGCTGAGCCCCAAAGTGCATTGAAACGAGGTGAGGCCCTCGCAGCTAGTTGCATTAAGCTTTTTGGTGTGTAAACGCGATCGTCGGCGAATGCCTCACCTTGTATCTATACAGCTTGCGCAAGACCAGGCACTCGAGCGCTGCGCAGCGCTGTCGGCAGCAACAATAACAGAAGCAGCAGCTACGTTTGGTGGTGGCCAATAATTCTAACTGAAATCAGTCAGCAGCGAGCCGCGATCGGAGTCAGAACAACGCGATAAGGAAATACGAACTATACCCAAAACAGTTACGATTTTTCGGATCCCCAAAGTGTGCGAGTTTCATTTCAATTGTGCAGAGTTTTCAAAATAATGTTAGTATGAGTACGGATAAAGAACTCAAGTTTGTTTGCCAAAAGCAAAACAAAAACCGCTGTGCCAAGCCTAATTCGGAATCAGATATGCAGGAAATTGAGCACAACAGTCAATATTTGTGAGCCCACCAGGGGATAAAAATGATATAAGAAGAGGTTCTCGACTGCTTTCCACCGAAGACGAAACTTACTGTGAATTATTATCTTTACGGTGCTTTGTTTGACCAGCCAGAGTTTTGGCAAATATTTTGGCCATCAACGAACCTTTCGTTTCTAATTAAAGATCCATTTCGTCAGAGATCCCACTGCGACAATTCAATTCTTGGCTATTCACGCCAACTTTATGGCCAATTGGCAATTAATTATCAACTCAAACTTTCAGATTAATTATCACTAAATTAAAAACGGGTTCAGCATTAGCGAACCCCGAAAAATAATACCACCATCAAAAAGACGGACTGGAACAATAACCATGGGGGGTGTTGTGGGGATGTAGAGGAGAGACAAAATGTTTGAGCACCTTCGATACCCATGATTCAGCCGCTATTTATACCCGAATCGCTTTAATTGAATAGACCTGATGGCACTCAATAAAATTGCTGACATCTCAGCTTTCAGCCAGGCTATGGCTATCCGCAGCAAACCCACCACCGTCAACAGGCGAAACAGGAAAATCTATTTGCAATTTGCATTTATTTATGAAACTCGGTTTCGGATTCGTCTTCGAGTTCTGTTCTGTTGCTGCTGCTGTTTCTGTTCTTCGGATAAACAAGTTTAATGTGTTCTTCGTCTGCCCGAATCCCAGAATTATCACCAACGAAAAATACAAAGTATAAAAGAGGCGCTTCCAAGGCAAATTCTTACTTTGGATTTTTCGATTGAGTGTACGCAAAATTAAAATACAAAACAAACATACATATTAAAAACAAAATCGCTTTTTAACAATGCCGTTGGACTTGTACAAACCAGCTGACGTCATAGCGAAGATAACTGTTTGGAGTTCATTCTACGCTTTGCACGTCCCCCCAGTGAACGGCCTGATGAGCGGGAATAAATCCCACAAAGAGGATTTCGCTCTCCACAAAAAAAACATACATGTATATGCAGATATGTAGATAAATTGATTAAACAAGTTTCCAGTTTTTCTCATTTGCCTAATTTCCGATTTTTGCCGTTGCACGGGTCGTATGCGTTATACATCAGCGGAATTTCAGGTATTCCGAGTGGCGATGATAGCAACTGAGATTAAGATCGGGGCTGCTAATTGCTGGCAAATTGCAGACCCCTTATCAAGATTCGTATGCAAAATGTGCGATAAGATATACTGACGGTGTTCCCTGTGCCATTCGCTTCATTTTAGCTGTGAAAGTCTACTGCCCCAGGACTCAGACATGACTGTCAAGTGCGCCCAGGTAGTGGGCCTGCTGGCCCTGCTGCTGGGTCTGGCCCAAGCCTTTGACCACACATTGAAGCTGGACTATCCGGGTCCCTACTGCGCAGTGCGCAACACATGCTGCAAGGATCGGCACGACGGCTGCTCGCTGCCCATCTCGAGTAAGTTCTTCATGTATGTTATCTTTCCCTCCCGGTCAGCTAAACATTCGCCTTGCCCACAGCCACCCTGTGTTACTGTGATGAGTTCTGCGACCGAGACGACGCCGGCGACTGCTGCCCCGATTATCGCTCCTTCTGCTTTGGGGAGGCGGACCCCTTGGTCACCTGCCTGCACAACGGCGTCTATTTCAGCAAATACAACAGCACGAGGGACAACTGCAACGAGTGCCGTTGTCTAGATGGCGGCCGGGTGCAGTGCGACCAGGATCTCTGCCTGACCGACGAGTCGATCATCCACAGCATCAACACGATCCATCACCTGGGTTGGTCCGCCCGCAAGTACGACGAGTGGTGGGGCCACAAGTACAGCGAGGGTCTGCGCCTGCGCCTGGGTACCAAGGAGCCTACCTACCGCGTCAAGGCCATGAGCAGGCTGACAAATCCCACCGAGGGCCTACCCTCCGCGTTCAATGCAGTCGAGAAGTGGTCCAGCTACATCTCGGAGGTGCCCGACCAGGGCTGGTGCGGCTCCTCTTGGGTGCTGTCCACCACATCGGTGGCCAGCGACCGCTTCGCCATTCAAAGCAAAGGCAAGGAGGCTGTCCAGCTCTCCGCCCAGAACATCCTGTCCTGCACGCGCCGCCAGCAAGGCTGCGAGGGCGGCCACCTGGACGCCGCTTGGCGCTATCTGCACAAGAAGGGAGTCGTGGACGAGAGCTGCTATCCCTACACCCAGCACCGCGATACCTGCAAGATCCGCCACAACAGCCGCTCGCTGAAGGCCAACGGCTGCCGCCCCTCGGCAAATGTGGATCGGGACAGCTTCTACACGGTGGGCCCCGCCTACACCCTGAACCGCGAGTCTGACATCATGGCGGAGATCTACCACTCTGGCCCCGTCCAGGCCACCATGCGTGTATACAGGGACTTCTTCTCATACTCAAGCGGAGTCTACCGTCAGACGGCTGCCAACCGAGGCGCTCCCACTGGCTTCCACTCGGTGAAGCTGGTCGGCTGGGGTGAGGAGCACAACGGCGACAAGTATTGGGTGAGTGTCCCTACATGATCCTTCATAGCTTACCCTTATGACTGATATAATTTCGTTCACCAGATCGCTGCCAACTCCTGGGGTCCCTGGTGGGGTGAGCGGGGATACTTCCGCATCCTGCGCGGCTCCAATGAGTCCGGCATCGAGGATTACGTGCTGGCTTCCTGGCCTTACGTCTACAACTACTACAACGTGAAGTCGGCATAGACGTCGCCTCCCACGAGTAATCTCGAGCTATGCAGAAATGAAAACAAATTTATCTCATGCTTCAAAAATTTTCCATTGCTATGGCACTCAAAGTGAATTAGGCGCTTCTGTATTTGTAAAGTTTATGCTAGAACCTAGTTACTAAAATGATTAGCTTTAAGATGCGCGAACGCACAAGTTAACTGCCCAACCACCGCCACGCCCCGTTCCCGTTCACGAACCCAGCCCTAACCACTTGTTCCCTCACCCACTAAACAGGACTCGAAGATGGGTAAGGGGCGTCCATATGCAACACGAAACTGCCACATTAACCAGTCAACACCACGTCCAATCCATACCCTGATACTGCCACATCAAGAACAAGAACGTACCCCTGCCCCTGCCGCCGAGCAGCGCATGTGATTGAAGGACGATTTGATCAGCGAGAGTGTCTGTAGGATACTAGCGAGCCCACCACGCCCATCATGTATTGTAAATGGAAGCTAAGTTAACTGATCGACGACCCTATGGAATATGTTCGGCTTATATATTTGTAATAAACGAATTACTTTACATGTTTACCGCCGCGGAGTTTTGATTCATACTGAGTGCTGAGTGCTGAGTTTTCCCATCCCATCCACGCACATTTCAGCGAAGAACATTTGTATCTTAGCTTTATTTTGTAATACATATTTATACGTATCGTGGACCAGTGCGGTCATCGTATGTGTCTTGTATAATCATTTCACTTTCTTTCTGCTTTGTTTAACAATATTTTCACATTTTTTTGTTGGGGGTTAAATAGAATAGAGTAAAATTCTCTGGGGGGTTATTTATTAATGCTTACGCACTGAATAAATCAGGAGAATAATCAAGAATGTTTTCACTTTTCACTTTGCACTTACGATTACAATCGAAATTAAATTGACACAAACAAAAGTCGAAGGCCCACAACTTTCCTAACCATGGAATAATTCAATTAATTTCTCACACTTTCAATTTGGATACAAGTACGCTTCCGGGGATAGTATTTGTATCTGGTGCAAAAATAGGGCTGGTTGAACGCTCTGCCTATGCTCCTGCTCCTGGATGCTTGCGGATCGGGTGGGTTAGTTTAGGGTGATGCCGGCAAAGGATACCTCTAGGGCGGCATCGCTAGACTCCATGCGACTGCGCAGATGCGCCAGCGTGTTCTTGTAGTGGCTCTCGATCTGTTTGGTTTCCTCGCTGGGCTCCAGGTTGGGCAGCTCCTCATTCACCTTGGCAATTAGCTGCAAGATAAATATTTATTTAAGACACCTGCGGAACTGCTTTTCTTGTGCGAACTAATCACCTGATTCAGCATTGCGACTGTGATGAGCGAGTTGCCGCGCTCGAAGTAGAAGAGATAATGATTCAGCAGCTCCACGTACAGCTGCACCTGTACTCCCGTGTCAAGGCATTGTGAAGCAATCCGAGCGCCCTTTTTCAGGCAGTCCAGAGTGCGCTTCTCGTCCCGCATCTCCTCGCCGTTTTGCCTAGCGATGCAACATGAAAGGTTATCAACCATTTCGGAGAAAGGAACATCAAAGCGCTACTTACTTTCCGCTCCAGAAGAGAGCTGCACAGGCAACCACACCGCGGCACTGATCCGGCTTCTTTAGCAGCTTGGACGCCGCCAGAGCACAATTGGTGCGGAGGGGTTCGGCGTTTTCCTCGCTGAAGCAGGACATCTGCTCAAACGTGGACATGATGAGCGTTATGGCAGCTAGCTGAGCCTTCGAATCGGATATTTCATCTTCGTAGAGGGAGAATGCCTGCGTCATGAACTCGTAGGCCACAGTCTCGTGGTTCGTGTAGCGGATCTCTCCAATGACCAGAGCACCCTGCAGATATAGACGCAGCGCCAGATCGGCCAGGTCCACCTTGGCCAAGGCGCTGATGGTGCTGTGGCAGTACTGCACGATCTTCTGGCACTTTTTGTCCCAGTTCTCATCCTGCTCGGCGATCGCCTTGTACTTGAAGGCCAGCTGGTAGGCGGCGAATACGAGCGGAGGCAGGACATGCTTGAGCCGCTGACCGCCACCATTCCCTAGATGCTTGCGCGCTGTTTGCAGCATTTTGTATTGCATATCCGGCTCGTCAGAACGCATCAGGTGAATGAAGCTGAAGCACGAATAACCCATTAAAAAAAAAGGGAATATAAACCAAATTGCTTGATCTACTTACCGCGCCACGACTCCCTGCTCTTCCGCAAACTCTTCGGCATCTGTGCTGCTGGCGCCAGCTGCCGCCAAAGTGTCCTTATTCGCCTCATCATCCTTGATCAGAGGCGTAATAATGGTCAGCAAGCTGTCTGCCTGATCGGCCGTCGGCACCTGCGTCTCGTTTTCTAGAATGTTCATTACCAGATACAGGGCCAGCGACTTGCGTGAAGTGTAGTCGAACTTTTCCAGCAGGGGACAAAAGTTGTGCAGCTGTATGATGGTCAGGGCATTATTGTAGAAGTCAATGCAGATGCGCAGGAGCCGGGACAGTTCCTGGTTCACTGACAAAAGGTGAGAAATGCTGCCAAAAAGGGATAGTGAGATTAGCTCAGGCTCATTTTTCATGTGCTTAATTCCTTACTTGTTCATGTTCATTCGTTGCAGTATTTGTGCGGTTGTGCCCAGCACCTTGTCCACGTAGTCGATGCGATCCGGATACACTTTCTGGGCCAAACTGAGCAGAGCAACCTGCAGCGAAATGGTGTCCTCGAGAGGCATGTCCATGCGCATCTGCACAATGTTGGCCACCTGCACGCTGAATACCTCGAACAGCTCCACCTCGGCGGGAATGATGGCATCGATGCCATTGCCGCTTGTCTACGGCAAAAGGAATGTTAGTTAATGTCAGCATTTGGGGCAACGATAAAGCATATTACCTTGCCACTCCGCTGGTTGTAGGCAGCCAGACGCTCAATCAGCGAAATAATAATGTTCTTGACGTTCACACCCGTCTCCAGCTGGGCACAGGACTTGAGGAATGGGTCCAGTGTCTGCAGATGGAACTCATCGGGAAACACTTGGATGATGCACTCCATGAGATACTCCTGGGCAATGGCATCCCGACAGCTAACCACCTGCTCCAAGATTCCCGGTAGAATGAGCCGCTGGTACGTCTCCAGGGTTGCCGACTCCAGCTGCGATAATCGCACCAGGTTGGTGCCCACCAGTATCTTGAGCTCCTCGCGCTCCTTCTCCCGCCTGGTCTTCTCGCTTGAGTGCCCCTGGTGTTGCATGCGCACCCACAATTTGTTCATCTCGGCGAAGTTCGTCAGCACAAAGTCAATGGCATCGTAGACATTGCCCTCGTGCTCGTTCTCAGGGACCATCACATCGGGCAGAATGTTGCGGGTGCACTGCAGCAAATAATTGCGAAGGAACAGCCCCCTCAGGGGGTGCTGCACTCCGCGGCACATCTCCACCAGGTCCTTGAGGATGCTGCGCTTCAGTGTGGAGTCGTTCTTTATGTACACAATGCCCACTGTGATCAGCAAATACAGCCGCGGCACTATGGTCTGCGAGTACTGGACCAGCTCATACAGTTCCGTCTTTTTGTCATTCTTCTCGCTAAGATACAGCTCCAGATGGCACAGCTCATTGGTGACGGCCATATCTGGGGAAGAGCGCGAGTTGTAGTAATGAAGCTTGCATACGCTAAAATATTGGGCACTCACATAGCTCGTAATAACTCTTTGGGGACAACACGGATGTGCGCAGCTCAGTCAGCATGGTGCTGGCGCACTTGAGCGAGTCCAGCATGCGCTCCTTGTCCAGAAAGTGGTTCATCTGGAATGCCTGCTTACGCGCCGTACCGACAGCCTCGGCGAGCAGCTTTTCCTGGTCATCCAAACCATTTGGCATGGTCTGAAACGAGACATAAAAAGTGGAGTCGGTGCTGTTAGTCCCTGGGGTTCGCCTAGCTCTCGGGTACATGAGGGCGGGTTACAATGAGATCGAGAACACACAAATGCTTAAACAGCAAACAGCTTCAGATAAGCCTTCTTTATACAAATATCTACGGAAGTTTGGGCGGAGAGCTGAGCCAGGCCAGAGGACGGACACAATGAATTGATGATAAGACAAGCAGATTTTGGATGAACATGACACATTGAGCATGCAAGTGTACACGTACATATATGTATGTATGTACAGTGGTATATACGACCAATTCAGCGTTTCGCATGGAGGGTTTAATTAGTGGTTGGAGTGAGTGTGAATTATTTACCCTATTCTGAGCAGGATTGGGCGCTTGGCCGCTGTACGAGGATGAACTCCAGGGGTACATGGTGGGAATGATGAGTGTTTGTTGGTTGGGGGCGTAGTTTTTGCTCCAGGTACCCTCGACTTGACGTCGACAGAGGCGCAGTCAGCGGTTTGACTTTACCTAATTTTCACTTGCTGGTTTTTCTTTTTTTTGCCAATTCTCGCTTGCCGGCTTCTGGCGGCTACAATGCAGGCTGGGTCGCACTTACCATTACTGCAGCGTCAGGTTCGAATCGAAGATGTGGGGTTATTTAATTAAATAAAGTTTACTTTTATAGGGATCAGTGTGACCGCGGAATTAACGATGAAATATACCGACAGACCCTCGAAATTACACCGAAATATACCTTCTCATTTTCCAAATATACTGTAAATATTTAGTATTATTATCTTGCAAACACTTTCAACACTGAAACAATAATTTTATACGCCGTGTAACTTACCAGGCGCCTCTGGAATTTTTTCTGACGTATTTACCTGTTGTCGACACCTTAATTTTTGGTACAAATATCGCACCATGAAAGCTCCCTTGCTTTGTTAAGAGAGCTTGAAAGCTGTTTTCCTTGCGAAGGGAGCTTGAAGAACTAATGAGAACAACTAAATATATATAATAAAATATATTAACTTATGACTATAGACGATATATGGTTTATAGCATTAATTTATTTATTTATTTATTTTAAATTAAGAATTAACTGCTTATAATGGATTTTTGGAAGAGTAATAAATATAAATTAAATTCAATATCAGTACAGGAGAGGAAGGAACGATCAAAATTACAAATTTGCTAAGATAAGGCTTAAATAATTATAATTTATAATTTATAATCGGCAGAGCCTTGTCACATGTCAGAGTCCCAGCTCAGGACAAATATTAAACATTGTTTTTGAACGGATTCAACAAGAATATGTTGCTCCTTGAATGGAGGACTCCACTCACAAGAAAAATCCTCCAATATCGGGCGGATATATCGGAGTTGAGCCCCAAATATGTTGTAAAGATACAAAAACTGCACCCCAAACCATTCCAAGCTAATTATAATATTTACTTATGTCCCCGTTCCCTTTCCCTTTCTGAAAAACAATAAAATTTCTTTTCTCTCTTGTTGCGCGCGCTATTTTTCAAAAATGTTCATGATATCAGTTAACATACATGTGTCTCTACATGTTACATACACTTACATACTGTAGACATAGCTCCCTTGCTTCCAGAAGGGGTGATTTGTTTGAATTTGTAAAATATAAGGTCATACTGTTATACAAACCAATAAAATTGTAGTATTTAAAATACGTCAAATTGATTCTTCAAACGGATTCACTGTTAAAAGGCTATGAAAACTGGTAAAATCAAATAGAACATCAAAATCGAAGAAAATAATTTAAGATTCGCACGTTTCTAGGCTAGGGCTGTCAACTTTTAAAAAAATATCAAACCGGTTATATATTTTGCTTGGAAAAAATATCAAAATAATATGACCTCTATCGATATACTTCATATAAATATATATATATATATATATATATATATATTTTACCGTTATGATATTTTAAAAAAATTTGACAACCCTAGTTCGAAGAGAGGAGCGCATCCTCTCAGCAGTGCGCGAATTTATCGATAAGATATATCACCTGTCTCTGAACTTAAACCGTTAAACACTCTGGGATAAAGGCAGAAACTTATTTAAAATGAACAATAAATGTGCTACGTGTTTGTGCAAAGGTCCAGTATAGTTTTGTGTTTCGACAAGCAAAAGCAAAAGAGCAGTCATCAGACATCATTGCTCCTGGCGTAGGTGTGCGTGCGTACAGTGGAGTGCAGTGCAGTGCTGAGGGGATGCGCGCTCAACAGAATATAAATAAGTAGGAAGACTTCGCACAGCAGCCCCTCTCCAGCCTCCCACCCTCAGTCGCCGTCAATGTCAGTGGAGTTGATAAAAAGTGAAGTAAAAGGTCTTAATTGCTGCTGCAGTCAATAAATCATCAAACGAAAATATGGAAGCATCTCAGGAATCCAGTGCGTAAAATTAGAATCACAGGCAGGGCAGCGGAAGATACAAAATAAGCAGAGAAGCATACACACGTATAAATACACACATCGTAAACTCGCTCCAGAACGACACAATACGATGGAGAGCGAGCGCCCAGTGCTCCCCACTTCCTGCACAACATATGCCAGAGTCAGGAACAACAAGAACTGCTCCTGGGGATGCTGTGCAGGCGCCCACAGAGAGTAGTCGCCAGCGCTTACTCTAGTGTACTTACTTCACTCTCTCTTGCTCTCTCTTGCGCTCTCGCGGCCATGCTACGTACACCCTGATGGAATGGTGTTTCCTATAGCTATACCGCTACAACCAGCCACAGTGGCATCGGGTTTATTTCGATTCGAACCGTCACCGCAGTCGGTCGTACGCCGGTTCGACACCAGAGTTCCTGTTTTGCGTGTTTCGTGTGCATTGTATTGAAATTCGGACGAAAGCTGGGAGCGAACGTGATATTGAGAATCAGAATCCAGATGCGGGATAAAGAATAACTACTGCAAGAACGAGCATAAGTAGATAAAGAGATACCTGAGCTGGATGTGTGTGATTTCGAAACGACAACAATGTGGATAATTTTGATGTTGGAGTGATATTGTGCAAGGAGGCACCATCGGGATGTTCGCCCGTTGCCTGTGTTTTCGTGTGTGGTGAAGTGCCGAGTTTAATGAATGTGTAGATAGATTGCACAGCACATGTGTCTGTGTTTGTGTCAGTGAGGGCTGGTGAAAAATATGAAATACTGACGTCCTGGGGACAACGTAGGCAGGCCAAACAAAAAACTAAGAGACTAAAGTGAAAGGCGATAAGGTTACAGATGTCCTGAGCACACAAGGTACGGCAGGCTCGCAAGGAAACGCTGGGACACTCAGGGAGGGTACAGGACGGGAGTGTAACTAGATCCGGATACATGCTCGCCTCCAAGAAGGCCCGCTCCTTTGGTCGCCCTGCAGCGCACAACCACCAGCCACCAGCAGCAGCCACGAAAGGACGACAACGTGTAAGTAGCTGCACGATGCTTAGCTATAATAAGAACCCTTCTCCTTTTCGGACATGAGACAAAAAGGGGACACTGCAACTGCAGTGCGCTCCTCCTGCGCTACTAAGTATGCCAGTGCAGTTCTATTTTTGAGGTGCACTGCTCCGAGTCTGAGTAGGTGAAGTGCGAACCAGAAACCATTGCCCACACGAGCACACCCCTCCCCCGCACACTCGCTCAACCGGCGACAACATTCATATATCCATTCAAAACGTACCACTACGAGTATTCAAGTGTAACTAAAGACGACCAATTCACAAACAAACAAACAAAAACCGGCGGCAGCGGCGGCCCCGGCGGATCAACGAAACGCGGCCGGACGGAACCAAGTGGAGTTGGTCGGGTCGGGTCGGGTCGGTGTGTGTGTGTTTTTTGTTGTGGGCGACCCACGAACCATGTGACCGCGGAGGAGGCGGCTGGCCCTATGTCCGGGTCTGCCTGCTCGCTAATGTTTATTATGAAAAGCGTGCCCTTTGGAACGCCATCATGTATTTTTATTTTTATTATTTTTATTTTATGATTGCGCTTAGGTTCTCATCTGGCTGTGTATTTTGGTTTGGTTTTTCTTGTCAGCCAGCTTTAGCATTGAGGCGGAGGTGAAGTGTAGTGGAGAGTGCGGTGGAGTGGCGTGGCGTGGATTGGGCTGATGGTTTTCGAGAAGCCCTCATGAGAGCAGCACTCAATTTATTGATCAAAGATGCAGCTACAATTGTAATAGTCACAACAACAACAACAACAATAACAACGACGACGAGATGCAGCGTGCAACATGCCGCAATTACAGTTATAATTTGGGCTTGTAACCGTTATTCAAATGGAAATTCAAATTCAAATGTGAACTGCAATTACCAACCCTCCCCAACACGCGGCGTTACTGTGAGTGGGGTACAAACAATCGCCAATTGGCATATAATGATCCCCTTTGGACGTTTTAACTGACTGACAGACAGTCGACAGACGTAGAGAGAGGGAGAGCGAGTACGTTGGGATGGGATAGAGTGTCTACTGGCTCAGCCAGCCACCAGCAGGGACATTCAAAATAATTCTCAGGCCTTGACAAATGCACGTAATGATTGGACTCACACTTTGGTTTATGCTTTTTTAACAATTTACGCGAAGCCTTACCCCGTTCCAAGTAACACTCACATGTTCTCACACTCAGCCCCGTCATAATTTTAGGGGTTGTGCAACTACATTACATGCAGACATACAGCTGTTCCCTTAGATGAGCAAACAAGGGCTGTGGCATGGGAACGTTGGATAGCAAATGGATAGGAATGAGTGCTACAACCATGCCTGCCCCATGAACATCTTTGACTCCTGTGGTGATTAATTGTCATTCGGGGCAGTCACCTGGGCAGGCCTGGCCTGCGAGCCTAGGCCGCCCTACGACATATGCATAAGAGCCCGTTCGGGTTCGTTTTCGGGTTTGGGTTCATGGGACGCGACTTAGCAGTGGATTAGATGTCGATCATCGATATGGCGAGAAAGAATAGGCTCGTTTCTTTCGGCAGCGGCTTTTGTTCTTCCCCGAAAGACGAGAGTAGGTAGCTGCTGTAGCCAGAGGAACCATCGTAAATTGTTGTATTGATCCGACATCATCGATGTTGGCGAGCACAAAGACGAAATGGAATTAATACTCTTATGCCTAGGTATCACTTTGTGTACAGAACCTACGAGTGGATAAAGGGTAGGGTAGATACGAGGGTAGGTCTCTCACACAGATGAAACAGTTTATCTTTCCATGGTGGCAGCTTTTCCTCTTTTCCTCAACTGGCAACCATCGATTTTGTTTTGGCATCATAAATTAGTCCTCAGCACCGGCAAACTTTCGCTTGAGGTCTGATGGTCATCATTTGTTTTGGGCCTCGACCACTTTCGGCCACATTAGCAGTTTGCTAATAAGATACAAATGATAAGAGTCATCGCCAGCTGGCCGGCTTGTGCTACATTCAGCTGATGGAATCATAAATAATTTCTTTATTGCATGCAGCCTGCTTTATCTCCTAAATATCTCGAGTGGCTTGTAGCAACATGCCCCGCTCTCCATGTGACAGCAGCCCATAATTCATGGTTGAAACTTTTGTTTCTATGCTTCTAATTCCTCAACAATTACGCTTAATTAATTTAAAGATGTTTCTCTGTGACGCTGTCGATGTCGATGTCGCAGTTGCTGTTGCTGTTTTTGCTTGTACTCGTGCACATACATATCTCCCGTAGAGTTGTTTCATCATCCCCGCATCGTGCGTATCCCTCCCGCCGTCATGGCCAACGCTCGTCACATACAATATTTTTGAACAGTTATGAGGGAGGACTGGCACAGTCAGCGAGCAAGGCAACGTCTCTTATAAATAGATTAATTAAAATCATCTTTAATTGTTTGATTACAAGACAAGCGTTGCCCGAAAAAATTAAAAGCGAGCGCAGGCAGCGATATCACAATAGGCTGCCTCTGTCAGCCAGTCTGGTATTGTGGGAGGAGTTCGGGTGGCGCGGAGTCGAGTCTGGAAGCACAGGAGTGTGTGGGCAAAATGCGCAACATGTGAAATACAGATGCGGCAGCGATTGCGATTGCCATAGGAACCAGCACAGCACGGTCCCTTGAGTATTAAAGATTTCATTTGTGCTACAGATGTTCCAGAGATTGTACAACATAACTACAGTGCTGTCCAGGAGGAGGAGGAGGAGGAGGAGTAGAAGGCAGCAGCAGCTTCAGAGCAGCACACAAGAGTCACACGCAATTGAAGCAGCGGCATCTGCCACATCCACATCCACATCCACTTCAGGCAGTCGCCATCCATCGCATCGCATAGCGTAGCACATATCTGCCGCAGCGTTTCGAGTGGCATTTGATTTTAGTACTCAAGAGTGAGCGTGCGAGTGCGAGTGCGAGTGTGTGCGTGAGTGCCCCCGAAGTATAAAAATTATTGCTGCCAAGCAACTGAGTCGTCAGCCATCAATTATTTTATAGAATGCTCACTTGTTTTGTGTTCTCTGCTCTGCTCTGCTATGCTCCTCCATTCCCTTCCGTTCCTCCCTTCCCGCCGTCCTCTGGTACACTCGTATTGTCTGCATGTGCGTACTCCGCCTCCTCCCTTTTGCTCCGTTTTTTATTTCGTCCGTCCAACCGAATCTCTGTCGCCGTCTTCGTCGCTGTCGCTGTCGCTGTCGTTGCCGACATTTGGCCCCAACAGAAGAAGTTCACTTGGAAGTTTTCATTTGGCACAGGAAGGGCTTCTCCGTTCCTCCGTCATCGGTCCCCAGTATTCCGTCTTTGAGGCAATAGTTGTGATATTAAATTGAATACGACGCCGATTATCCCACGCAATCTTTCATTCACAACCAACCATCCATCCGCACAGCCTAGGAAGAAGCTGGTGCCGGGGCTCCTCCCCCACGTAGCTGGAGACAAGACATCGTCAAAGTTCGGCGGGACTTCTGAGTAATCACCCCTTACAATATGTATGTACATCCATATGTACATATGTATGTAAGTGCCAGTACTCAGCTTCGCATATCTGGCTATGCATCTCGAGCTGCCTGCGTGTGTCACACAGTTTGTCAGAGGAGGAGCGACGGTTGCGTGCCGAAATCAATGCAAAGTTTTTTTGTTGTACTTTCCGACGACAAGTTTGCTTTCAATAAATAAAATCGATTTGATTAACAAGTGCACAAACACACACACATCCACACCCACACCCACACCCGCACAAGCAGACAATGAAAAGTCGCTGATAAGCGCTGCGCACAATCCATTTGGCCTACTTTGCTTCATTAAAAACCTATTAAAATGTAATGCTCCCAGCATCAGCTATTCGTATGTGCTATGTGCATTGACGATTGCTGATATCACGCTGATAAGGCAGACTTCCTTTGATTGAAATTGTGCATTTTATGTGCCATTTGTTGATGAATCTTTGCACCAGGTCGCAGATTTTCTCTCAAAATATTACCATCGATCCTAAAGAGCACATTTCCATTGGTGGATATCGATTTAATTTACTATTTTACTACGAGTTTGATTATGGCTTGAGAGTAGCCCTGCAAATAACACGAATCTGTGGGCCTAGTCAAACAGAGTCTAGACAAATCGAAAACAAAACGAACCTCAATATTCCATCTATAATTGAATGCACACAACACAAAATGTGTGTGCATTACCATCAAAGAGGAGGGGAAGACCATTATAATCTGGTCAGCTACATGAGCCGCACACATCCACACACACATCCCCATACATCACATCCCATACCATCCATTTGTCCGCACCAGCACGATATGGAGAATATTGACAGACACTCAAGTGTCCACAAGCACCCTGTAAATCCAATTGAATTACGCATAAAAGGCGCTTAAGCCAAATGAAATGATGATAATGAGAGAGTCGATGATGATGTCGTTTAAGCCTCGAATGAAATGTATTATTTCCCTTTAATTTCTTATTACCCGATATTTTATTACGATTCGTGGTCACGGCTCCTGGGAGCGTGGCGTGGCGCAGGGTCCCTAATCGTATACACTCTGCACATATCAACCGTTTCCGCAACATTTGCATTTCGACTTTTAGCTGATGCGCCTTTTAATGGACGTCTTCAACGTCAGCGGTGGCAGCAATATGATTCGTGTTTGAAGTGCTGTTGGAGGGGGTGGGGCAGGGGGAGCAGAAGTTTTAACTTATGCATGATTAATACATAATTACAAAGCCAAACACATAAACCTCAAACTCAAAGGCAAACTCAAAGGCAAAGGCAAAGGCAAAGGCAAAGGTAAAGACTGAAGAGAAGCCGGAGCTATCCTATCGCACAGTTCGTGCTGGTATGCATCCATCTCTGTCCCTCCGCTGCCAACTACACAATAATTCAGAAAGTCAGAAAAGACAAAAGGCACATTTCCCACAACACTACAACAACGAACAGCCTAGCCACGTCCTGTGTAGGTGCGGTGTGGAGCGGTGAGGTGGCCCTGCCCGGAGAATGGGAAGGAGAACTGCAGTCTGTGGAGCATACTTATACCTGTTATTAATATTTCGATTAGGTACCAACGATTCGTAGAACCTGACGCATGACTTGCATAGCTAATGGGACATTTTGTAACTTGTGGGCATTTGGTTGCTGCCCTACACTTGGACCCGGAGTGCTGAGAGTGTATTGGCCCTCTGATTGATGATGACAACTTATCGATTACGCTCGTACGAGCAGGAAGGAAGTGTCGGTCGGCTAGCAGTGGCATTACCAGCTTCTCTTGATATATACTCCGAAAAAGTGATATTAATCTGAAAAAAACCGTGGAAGGTTCAAAGAAAAAAGCCCCAACCCTTGGATAGAGTACCCACTAGTCGGAATATATGTCGGACAGCGGAGTTAAGGTGGAGTGTGCACGTTAAAGATATGAACACTTTAGTCAATTCATAGACACTTTTTGCCGCTTGACAAACCACTCAGTGGCAGAGTGGATAGGGTACACTTAATTTGTCGAAAGAAATGTTACAGGAAAAATCTGATTCCCACATCATTACGTCTGCATTTTTAAATATGAAATACTATATAATAATAACATCAAAAAATGCACTCAGAGCTGTGGATATTTCCTGTCTCATGCTTTTAGTTTTTGTACTCCTCAAGTGAGGGAGTTGCAGTCTCGGCTCTCGATTGAATAAAGTAGATCCCACTCACAGGTTTCTTTTTATCTGACTTTCCAGATCCCATTTACCACGTCAACAAAGCGAGTGTGCAGCTAATGCTAATGCCTGCAGCTAGCTCACCAGAGCAGAAGCAGCAACAGAAACAACAACACCTACTGCCACAAGGGCCAGGGCAGGTGCAAGAGACGCACAGGAAACGCAGGACAAAGGCAGCCTGTGCGTGGCACACAGGGCAACGTAAAAACTGACAACGAAACCCAAGCAGCGAGCATGTCGTCGTCGTCGGTGATTAATAAAGCCGGAAATGTGATTATACTCATAGTGAACCTACAACTAACATGGCTAGTGTTGGCGGCCGTGGCCAGGGAGCTGCCACAGGTGGACTACGGCAGCATGTCCGACTCCATGGAGGAAGCTGTGATCGACCCACTGACTGCCTTGGCGCCCTTCGCCAATGCACTGGTCACTGAGGACAGCGCCCCACAAAGAACCAATATTGAGTTACTTAGCAACAGCAGCGAGGACGAGAATGGCAGGTTGGGACTGGGACTGGGACTGGGCTCCTCCTCATCGGCAGCGGCTGCAGGCACGCTCCTGGAGGAGTTCAACGGTGGCAAGCTCAGTCCTGCGGAAGCCAGCAACACGCTGCCCATTTTCCTCAGTGAGCCGGAGAGCGTGTTTGTGGTGAAGAACCGCCCAGCTGTCCTCAAGTGCAAGGCCTCCCACTCGCTGCAGGTGATCTTTAAGTGCAGCGGCAGCTCCCAGCCGCCGCCGTCGACGCACGACAAGCACGTGGATCCACACACGGGCGTCCACATGGAAGAGGTAACGGCCACCATTCACCGCGATCTCGTGGACGAGTACTTTGGCAAGGGTCCGTTCAAGTGCGAGTGCCACGCTTGGTCGTCCCGTGGCGTGGTCAAAAGTCAAGCTGCCACAGTGCATATTGCATGTGAGTACCGCTGCCGTACCCTGGGCTAGGCCAGGGGTTGATTCCCCTCAGCAACCATATCTCTGGCTGTATCTTTATTTATATCTGCCTTCATATCTCCCCTAACAGATATTCGCAAGACCTTCGGTCAGTCGCCCACCTCGCTGCGGCTCGAGCTGGGTAGCCGGGCGGAACTGCACTGCGAGCCACCCGGCGGCTTTCCCGAGCCAAAGCTCTCCTGGTACAAGAGCAACGCAGTAATAACCTCCGACAGCGAGCCGGGCCTGTCCGTCTCTGGCGGCACACTGACCTTCCGCCCGGTGGCGCTGCAACACATGGCCAATTACAGTTGCAGTGCAGAGAATATTGCCGGGAAACGAGTCTCCGACTCTGCTGTGTTGATTGTCTATGGTCAGTAGTAGGAGCAGTGCCTCCCCCTGCGAAAGCAATCCCAAGTTATACACTCTACTTACATAGAGTATATCTGTGTATGTATGTATAATCTTTTCATGTATATTTTTCTGCTTTTAGTGAATGGAGGCTGGAGCACCTGGAGCCCTTGGCGCGAGTGCAAGTGCGCGGGCAAGCCGAGCCAGGGACGAAAGCGGTCGCGCACATGCACCAATCCAATGCCCTTAAATGGGGGCGCCCAGTGTCCAGGCCCACAGATACAGAAATCTGCGGACTGCGCCGCTTGTCCAGGTATGTCCACACGATATCTACATACATTACCCGCTACATGTACATATGTATGTATGTATATGTAGGTACATAAAATATGTAAGAGTATTGCGGGTGTGGGAACGCCCACTTTGTTGTGTTGGTGTGTTGTGTGCAGCTTTAAAGTGGGAGTGGCACTATTGTAACACCAGCAACGAAATTGTCAATTTAAATGCCATTTGCGGCCTGGTCTCAGCCTCGCGCCACCTGAATTCCCGCTGCCATTGACGTCTCCTGGAGCGTTGAGTTGAGAATGGCGCACATTTTTCATACCAACAGAGGGTGGCCGTCGAAGGGGGGTGCAGGATAGGAAAAGTCCAAAACCAAAAGCACTGCATGACGCAAAAGTTCAAGTGGCGTTCAACCAACAAAAAAAAAGGAACCCATGGTCACTCCGATATGGGAATACCCTGTTGGAGAGCAGAGTTGCGAGTATATTTGGAACCATTTGCAGCTGAAAGCCCGATACGAACATCTTCATGGAGTCATTGTACCCTCACAGTGTTAGGGTAAGGCATATTTGAGTGAGTGCTGAGTATTTCATTTTAAACACGCATTCGGCTTCTGTGGGTGCCTTTGCTTTGCCCAACGACGACAGATATCTCCACATGCATATACACGGATAGATGGATAGATTGGAGATGGAGCTGGAGCTGGAGAGGCTGCGTGGCTGCTTTGGGGGAACGGGAGCGGGAACGGGAACGGGCAACGACTGCCTCCGGCAAGCTACTGACTAAATGGTGACAAAGGCATCAGTGCAAGGGGAAGGGACATCGCCTGGGCCCCGGACTCCGTGCTTCGGACTGGAGACTGGGGCCAGAAAATGTGGAAATCGGGAATGGGGATGTTCTGGTGGTAGCTGGGGCGCTTCTCTCTTTTTTTTGACAGACGCACGGGCGGCATGTGTTTGAGACTCTTCACTTTTATTCATGTAAATTTATTGTATTGCATTGTATTGTATTGTAGTGCGCACACAGATACTCGCACCCACACACACACACACACAGAAATCCATAGATACTTGGCCAGGCGCGCAGCGGGCACAGCAATGAGCAATTGTTGACAGACAAGCGGGACAAATGGTGAGGGATGTGGGACTCGGGACTCCAGAGGGGAGGCCACTGTGCAGGAGCGTTGGCTGGCAATACACTCGAGTGGGTGTGGGTGTGGTAAGGGTTTTGGGCAGGGGGAGGGAGGCTGTTGTGGGCTTTTATTCTATGAAAAGTGTGTCATAAAATTAATTTTAAATTTCGCTTGGCTTTCGTTTTTTTGCTCTCTTCCTTCCATCTTATAACATTTCATCCCCATGGAACCGTGTCAACCTTATGGTCCTGCTTTTCACTCATCGCCCGCCGCCGCCACGCCCACGCTGACGCTGACGCTGACGCTGTGTGCCGATGTCGCCTGCCAACAACAGAGGATACTCAAATCGTGAGCACTGATGGATTTGACATTTCGTCGAGTAAGCGCAGTAAGTTGAAACGAAAGCCTGACAATGTGCATTTCTTTCAAAGGCTTCCCATGGGTAGGAGACGAGGCCTTTGGGGACAAGCGACCGTGCAGTGCGACAGGGGTTCGGGCAGGGCGTTCGAACATTCAATATGACATTGTGTTCGAGCAGTTAAACTTGAATGCTTAACGAGGCAACGACAGTTAAATTTTTTAGTTGGGGGTTTCCCCAATTCCAATTCCCATTCCATTCCATTCGATTCACCCCTTGTATACCCATCCCAGTAGTCAGATTCGCTTGCCCTTTACAATGAACAATTCAATAAACAATTGTGTTAAACTGAGCCCAGAGCATCGCATCAGCATTAGTACCCAACCAACCATCCATCCATTGAATAATTCCCCAAAAACTACCCGAGCTGCCCTTAGCCGAAGTGACTTACTTTTTTTGGGGTCGTCGCAGAAAGTGACGTCATTGCGGAAGATAGAAACTTAAAAATCACTTACCACGAATCACGCTCTCTGATTCATGCAACAGTCCGGGTCCGGGTCCGGGTCCGGGTCCGGGGACCCTTGCCACACCATGGCTAAACTGACGATATGGATGAGGATGAGAGGATGCGTGCGCTGGAATGGGCAAATGGGAAATGCCAGGGCATAGTAGTGACGATGGGGCGACAAGTCTGCCGAGGCACTGCCCTTGTGTGAGGGTGGTTTTATGTTTCCAAAAACAGGAAGTGCCAAATGCCGATATACATACGTACATATGTATGTACATGGCTACATATTTTCTGCTGCCATGGGCATGCACACACTATGATATTCCCGATGCCCCCCAACTCTAGGAACATTTTTGTTTAGCTTTCGGACTTTCCGTTTTATGCCCCAGCAGCAGAATGGAAATTGAAAAGGCAAAGAAAATGCGAAAATAGAAAATAGAAAACAGACAACAGAAAACAGAAAAGCATTCAAAATGACAATCACTTTTGCCCACCCACACCACACAATCGCCAAGAATCAACCCACAGTGGCGCTGTGATTTGAATGGTGCCCAAGGAAGGGTGCGGTGGGTGCTCTATTTTATGGTGGGAACAACTTTCGATTTCTCCCCACGGGCCATCTATTAGACCATTAACCATCTACCATCTACCGCCACCACCTATTTAGGGCAAACGGTGCTATATTTGTTGCATCCAATGATCCCAACGCCCCCCCCTGACAGCCTCAGGCAAACAGACACTGCCACTGCCACTGGCACAGCCACAGCCACAGCCACGTTCTTGACTTTGGCCTCCACGTGATATATGACTCCGGGAGTGGCGCTGTCGGGAATGTGTGCTAAATCATGTTAATATGACTTTTGATTTCTAAACTTCTCTTTCTCCCAACAGTGGCACGCTGGTCCGCGTGGAGCGACTGGAGCATCTGCTCCGCGGAGTGTATACAAGTGCGTCGCAGAAAGTGCCTGACACAGACACAGACGTCTGACGCGGACGAAGCCGGAGATCTGCTGCTGACTGGTGTGGGCATGGCAGCCCTCAGCAGCATCAGCGGAAGCGCAGCTCTGCTGGACGCTACTGCGACTGATGGTGGCTCAGGATATGGCAAATCATTGTGCGCCGGAAAAGACACACAAACGGCCGAGTGCCGTGGAGAGCAGTGTCATATTGGCAAGGATGGTAAGTGTGTTTATGTCAATGGCAGGAAAGACAGAAGGACAGACAACGAAGGCAGGCAGGATGAACGCTGAAGCAGCAACAGAAGCAGCAGCAGCAGCAGCAGCAGCAGCAACAGAGTAGACAGTTAGACAACAATAACAATCACAGTCGAGGGAGACACAGTCCAGGTCCCAGTTCAGTCTCCTGTCTATCCAACCACACAAAAGCTGAGCACTCAGCGCTGATTGTCACAATGGGAAATTAACCAAGTGCATTTTGTTTGTGCACGGCATCCCGGCCAAGAGTAGCTGTATTTATATTCGTGACAAAAAGAAAGGACTTTCCACCCCGAAACCCACGAGACCCCCAACTTCTGCGTCACCACCTAACCCCAAGCCCAAGTCCAAGCCCAAACCCTACTCTCCCAATCGAAGGGTCGAAAATCAATCGCAGCCGATTTCGGAATTGAGATTTAAGCTGAGGGTCTGTGTCCCGAGTCTGCTGTGGGCTTGTGTGTGCTTTGCCAGATAATTAGGCATGCGGCGAAGACGACAACGGCAGCGTCGTGACGCCGCATCCCCAATCAGAGCCATTCCCGTGTCATTGTTGCTGTTTGCCTCGACTCTCAATGGGGTGGTGGCGGTGGTGGAGTGTTGTATGTTGACCCAACTCACGCATAGTTTGGGGTTTGTGTGCGGTCCATGGGGATCAATTAGATGACTGTCACACTGTGTAATTGAAAGGATCAGGGTACAAGGACTCGCCATTCCGTTGCCATTCGCACATCATACGCACAATACGAGAAGGTTTGATGTTTCGCAGGTTTGTGCCCGGCTTTTATTTGATTGCTGTTGAAAAGTTTTTGGGAAAGGAGAGAGAATGAAGAGTGACAAGTTGTTGGACCGGACCCCGGTGGTACGTACAGCTTATTTTCCATTTTATTACATTTTGCAAATCCAGTCCCTGGGGATACTCGTACTCGTACCTCGTACCTACTTGCAATTGTGCCAACGGCAACAGTTGCGGTCTCTTCCTTGTGGCTCATTGTGGGAGGCCCCCAGGCCCCCAGGCCTGCAGCCCCCCGGAACATCCTCCACCCGATATTAAAAGCGTATTTTTCATGCTAAGAGGACGACTACGCTTTTGATGTCCCGTCCAGGCACGGGAACGATGTCTAAAAAAGCAGCATGCAACCGGCACACAAAAGCGAATGGAAAACGAAAGCCCAAGGAGTATGTGTGTCTATCCCAGTTGGGGATGACGGCTTTACTTCTGTTTCCGATGCTGCCGCTGATTTACAGCGAATATAATTGCTCATTTCATACATTGTATAATGCGTCCGCCCACTCCAATACACTCCGCTCCACTCCACTCCGCTCCACTCCACTCTCTCAGGCTCGCTGTTCTGAAAAGCTCGAGCTGTACATCCCATTCCGAGCATAATAATCATAATATATATGGAGTAATTCCTTGCGCTGCAGCGATTCCTTTTCGCCAACCAGTCACCGCCAGCGCCAGCAACAATGACGACAACAATCACAGCAGCGGAAACAGGCAGCGCGCAACAATGGGAGTCATCGGGTGGGAGTTGGAGAGTGGTGTGGAGATGTGATGGGAAATGTGAGATGGGGATCGGGATGTCGGAGCTGACTGGCTGGCGACGGGGGGCCGGCGGCGAATAATAATGCGAAATAGACGTAGCTGGCACTGGACTGGGGATGAGCATACAAACATAAAACATTAAATACAGACATACAGAACGCCAGAGCACAGCACAGCACAGTGCCAGATACGGATACGCATGGATGCTCGGGATTGATGACAATGGGTGAGGATGCGCCCGACCCTGTTTGATTATGGAAAAGTTCGGCTCGGTTCGGTTCAGTTTTGGTTCGGTTTGGTTGACTCAACATCCATGTATGTACGGGTATGTGTGGATTGAGCTTTGCCATCCTCCAAAGCATACTCGAAATCACGAGGGTGGCGGATTACGCAGAAAATGCTTGGTGGTTTTTTGAATACCATTCACACAAAGATTGGATTTGGATGCTGGGATGCTGGCAGCATCTTAAGTCGGCTTTAACTTTATGCAGGCCATATAACCTTTTAGTTCACTGGAAAGTATCTTCTACGAAGTGTCTGCCTGGACAAGCTACTTAACGCACATTTTCAAGTAACTGAAACTCCCCTCTGACGTTGGGATTACAGGATACAAAATGCGAAATCAGCAGTTTTATAAGAGTTCGCTTCGGCTTTTTCATTGCAGATTTCGATTGGACACTTTATCTGGGACTGGCCTTCATAACCGCCGTTTGCTTTGCCTTTGGCGCTGCTCTCATTTGCTGTGCCCGTCGCGGAATGCGCGCCAATCCCCACTACAACATGGCCCGCTCAGGTGAGTATCGGGGTCCAACGACCCCTCACTACGTTCTCTGGCAACAATCGAATTTATGTTTGTATGTTTGTCAGTCATGGATGCGGATTATATGCCCGGCGTTGTGGAGAAGAAGGAGATGCGAATGCACATTGAGGCCAGCAATTTGGGATATGATTATGTCAATCCCGGACATCGCTATATGCCTGCCGAGCATATTGTGGGCATGGGCATGGGCTGTGGCGGCGTAACAGAGCACCACTACGATGTACCCAACCTGGCGGCCAAGTAAGTTAACAAAAAGACCGTTTATGACCATCTGAGCATACTATTAATATCGATCTATTTGTAATTGTAGCTACACCAATCCCATTGACGATCTTGGTGCTGATTATTTGTCAGAAACCGGAGAGTCATCCACCGCCGATACATGTAAGCAATTCCTATGAATTCTATCTCCGAAACATACTCACAACAACTTCCCGTTTTCCGACAGCCAACTCCACCTTTGATATGAACGCCAAGCTGTCCATACTGAATGCCTCGAAAAGCAGCAGCTACGAACTGTTGGGCACCACCGGAGGACAGCTGCGTCTATACGGCGGAGAGCTGCTGCTCTTTGTGCCCGAGCACGCGATTGGAAAGAACCTAAAGAAGCACGTCTCGCTGCAGCTTCTGAGCGACGAGTGCAGCCGCGTGTCCTGCGCCACCGAGAGCTCCATTTTGTGCAGCAGCGTGGTGCACAGTGCTCCGCGCAACTACAGCTTTGTGAAGCCGGTGATCCTGAAAATACCGCACTGCCTGGTGGCTCCGGAGCAGTGGCATGTGCACATCTACCATGCCGACAGCGAGCACGACGAGCTGAATGTAAGCTGGAGACGAGCCGTGTCAGTGGGCGAAGAGACCATCAACACACCCATGTTTGTGCAGCTGGAGGCGACGCATGTGTACATCATGACGGAGCAACTGGGACATTTCGCCATCGTTGCCGAGCCCCGCATTCAGCAGCCTGCCATTAAGATGAAGCTGCTAGCCTTCAGCCAGCACACGCCGCCCAGCAGCGTCAACTGCAGTCTGCGGATCTATGTGGTCAAGGACTTGCCCAACAGCCGGGACATCTGTGCCAGTGTGGAGTGCAAGCTGGGCGGCAGCTTTCTGGGCGAGAGTCAGGTCTTTGGGTTCGAGCTGAATAGCCGCAATCTGAACATTCGCGTACGGTGCGCGGAAATGGAGGCAGCAGCTCCGTATGAGCATGCCATTCCCTACCATCACATTCTGAGCAACAACTCCATCCTGCACTGCGAGTTCAGTCTGCGGCGACAGGACCAGAGTACGCTGTGCGTGGACTTCGGCCAAGGGGGCAAGGATGACTCGGACTTCTGTACTTTCAACATTCCAACCCACTCGATGAGCGGTTCAGCGGAGGAGCTGGCTTCAACCACAAACACCACGATTTCTATAGACCGCCAGGGCAACTATGTTAATGAGAGTTGCGTCATGGACTTCGTGCAGCTGCCGCATGTGACAAAGCGCCTGATCTGTGCCGCGCTCGATCCCCCGCGTGCTGACGAGCGCGACTGGCGTCTCCTGGCGAAGAAGCTGAACACGGATCGATATATTGCCTACTTTGCCACCAAGCCCTCGCCCACCGAGCAGATACTCAATCTGTGGGAATGTCGAGCCAACAGCTGCTCCACCAACAGTTCCACTTCAGTTTCCCACACGATTATGGCACTCCTGCTGACGTTAAAGGAGATGGGACGCCAGGACGTGCTGGACATTATAGTGGAAACGATTGGTCCCCTGTGGATCTAATAGATGTCGTGTCGACTCCAAAACGACAAAACTAAACGATGCACTCCTCCTTATCTCAGCAGGTTTCTGGACAGGATTAACACACAAGAACTGAAGAATTGAACCGATAACTATCTACAATGTTTGTTAATATGAAATCACTGTGAATGGGGGATTCAGGGGCAGCGGACAGGGCAGGACAGCAGCTGTGTTGTTCGTTTACCTTTCTGTTGAAAACAAAACTGTTCATGAGTTGCCTTTTATTTAAAAAATGTACGAACGAAACGAAACGAAGTCAGAAAACAATGAATCGAAATGAAAACATACTGAATCAAAGTGTAGCTTTAGTCATAGTTATATAGTAGTTGGTAGTCACTAAGTTACGATTATTGTAGTGTACTGTACTCTAAGGTAACTGCTCAACGAACTCTGTTCCCCACGGGTGCCATGCATTTTACATACATATATACATACATACTTACATACATACATACACATATATACTAAAAGGTGGAAATATAGCGATAAATTACTTGTGGCTTAGCAAACTTATAGTTTTAAACATAAACAACTCTAGTATTACAATGGAAGAAACTATGTACGATAGCAACTGTAAGATATTTGTATCTATGGCAGGATGTACTACCAAGTGATGGCCATTCAGCAGATAGTCAAGTCTGGCCGTATCCGTATTTATACAGCCTCCATTTGAATTTAAATGTGTGGGGGTTGTAAACTGTATGCCAAATCGTTGATTTTCTCAGCCCTTTTCTATTAACGTATAGTCACTGTGGAAGAGCAGAATTAAGTAATCAAAACGATGCCATAAACACACACAAAAATACACAAACATACATACATACAAATACCTACGCATATATAGCGAGTATGTGTGTACATATACCTAGAAAATAGTGTAAAACAAAACAACAAAACGAGTAGTTTGTTAGACATGCTCAAGTGATAACCATTGTATTTGTCTTTAGCTATAAGTCCGATCCTGTCGTTTAATCGTTAATCAAGTAAACATTAACTGAACATTTACGTATGTATGTATACTTAGTGGCTCAAAAAGAAAGTTAGATACAAAATAAAATATGAAAAAGAAAACAAATCGAGTGTATAAACTTTAAATATCCCCTTCCAACCCAGACTTCCAACTTCTTGATCATGTTTGTCTGGCCTAAGACTCCAACGGTTACAACGGCTATATACCTGTACAACTTTTCAGCCAACAATATTACAGGACAACATGGAGGGACTACATGTCCCACAAAATGGCACAGAAAGCAATATTACCAGAGCTTATATCAGCATCAGCAGAAACTATAAATGATCTTCACATTTGAACTTCTGGCCTTCACAAATATTTTCATGGCAATGAGCTGTTGTAACACAAGAGGAAATAGAGCGATTGGCAAAAGTTCAAATGTATGAAACTGAACCATGACAACGAGGAGCGCTACTGCGCCACCCTACAAATGCTATAGTTTGCAACTGCACATATAGATGGCGGTGACAACAACTTCGCTAATTAAAGCCAGCCGCAAGGTGGCTCTTGAAACATTACAGTTGCGAAGAGTGTTGCAAAGTTTCCGATTTCACAAGACGTCAGTTTGAATCTTTTGGCGCCAATCCAATTTTGCATAACTATAATTATGCCCATTATCATGCCCATTAAAAACATATTCCAGGTAAGTAGTAAGTGACCTACAGAACTTGATCGATTTATACTGTGGCATTGAGTACAGTGAGTACGCATATTAACAATCTGCCAGGGTGTGTGTGATTCGGCGTTCTATGCTCGTGATTTTTGATGAGTTCATTTTTATTTAATTTCACGGCATCCATATCCTGATATTTGTCGAAACAAGATCATTTGATAGACTGGATTTCAGCACTTTCGTAGCATTCTTGGGTAATAGCGGCTGGAACAATTGGCATGAATTCGAGAAAATTAAGATACATGCACCTACCAGTCATGTTAAGCAATCAGCGTAGTGCACCACACCGGACCAACGGACTCGGACCTTTTAACGAGCTAAATCTAAAGCCGAAACAGTCTGTCTGGATTCGGTCTCTGGCTGTGGCTGTGGCTGTGGGTCCGCCAGCAATTCTACAAATAACAAATCAATAATTTCATGCAACACAAAATGATTGCTGTTGCAATGGCGGCACCTTTTATATCCCTCACCATCATACGTATAAATAACTTTAAGCGATTGCGGTTTTTGCTTCATCTCCCAAATAGAAATCTACGAAGGCCACTTACATACAATACTCGTACAAACAAGCGTCCGTCGAGCCCCTGTCGCCAACCCGAGACCGTTCCCGCCCGCCCGACCATACCCGACAGCAACTAACTGCTGAAAAAAGAGATCCTGGTAAGAGTAGCGTCGCCGATTACACCAGCTAACAAAATCAGACTTTTATTTGTGAAATGGATGCTAACTGACATTTTCCGATAGACTCGGGTGGCTCCTGGGTTAATTTTGGCTGCTGAACAGTGTTATTGGAGGCCGCCGTCGTCGACTGCTGGCTGTCATCGTCAATTAGTTTTCTCACCGCAGACATAACAATATATTTTATGTATCGTTTGCTGACTCTTGCATCTGTGTGGTGTTGTACTACGTACACGTATACGTATACGTATACGTAGTCTTGACCGCCGAAGGTTTTGCATTTTTCAGCAGAAAGGACAGCAGAAGCATCGGCTCGGATCGGCTCAGCTCGACTCGACCAATATCGTTGTCGCTTATTGAAAAATTTCCTAATTGGGTTGAAATTCCAATCTAACAACGATTTCGATTTGGCGCTGACAATTTTTAGCTGCCGCTACTGATGTTTCTCGTTCTGCTTCAGTTTCGTCGGTGGATCTGTATCTGTGCCTGTACAGCAGTCCTCGCCGCAGCTTATTTCGAACGCTACAAAATGTGGGAAATAATAAGTCGAAGCACCCGCAGGTGCAATATTATGGGTTTAGTCTTCTTTATGTAGCTTATTGTTTTTTTGTTAAGCTGCAGCAAGATTTGTCCGTGCAGCAGGACCTTCAATGTGGAGGGGCGGTAAAATTGTACGAGTACGAGTGTACTCAATGCCACATTGCCACATTTCTCTCGAGCACTGTGCAAATACATGCGATGTGTGCGGCCAACGGAAGCGACACCGACGCCTTCAAGTAATGAGTAAATACTCGAATTGCAGCAAAGGTCCGTCCGTCCACCAGCCACACATGCTCTGAAAGTCTGTAGTTGGAAGGCTAAAATCGAGCCGAGCAATTTCCAAGATATCGGTTCTATTGCTCAATAGATTGCAGGCAAGACACACAAGCTTTAATGAAGCTATCCATTTCAGGTCAGTCCTGAAATTGTGGGCCCAATAATTTGCATGCAATTTCACCAAAAATCAATGGCGTAAGCTAACCTTTGATTAGGCCATGGCATAGCCAGTCAATCCAATAATTGCGGAGTCAGCTGGCAGCCCCAGCTGCCATTTTGAATTTGTCTGCCCTCCGCAAAGGGCGTGAAACATGAATTATGCTGCTGAGGATGTTGCGGCCCAGCTCGGCACGGCCCTTGTCTTGGACTAAGACAATGGACGGACGACAAAGCGTTGATCGCAAGGCGTTGAATGCGCTGGATAACCGCAAAAACACAAAACAATACAAAATACTCTGAAACGAAAGCATGGCAAGCAAAGCAAAAGCAAAAGAAAAACGAATATGCAGGCAGGCTGCAACATGTCGAAGCTTCAATGGACAGTCCGGACTCTGGGACAATGGGGTCCATACGTCCCATACATAAAACCATCGAAGACACAGCAAGTTTCAGGCCGAGATCCAAGAAATTGCAGACGTTTCGGTTGTATTACGAATTTATCTACCTGAGCAGCAACCATCGTCAATCGTCCATCGACGTTGCTGCTGTGCTGCTGCTGTTGCTGTTGCCTTGTGTTGCTTTTGCCGTTGCTGTCGCCGGATCCCCAAGGAGCAGCATCATAATGGCCACCGAACGCCAAACCTGGTGCTTCTGCAACCACCACACCACCGAGCCTCTATTTTGCGACCTCCGCAAGTTTCACATCCACATCCACATCCACATTGCCATTGCCCGATGTTTCGCCGTTTTCAGTGGAAATTGCAGTCCGAACTGTGCCCGAGTGGCAGTGGCAGTGGCAGTGGCAGTGGCAGCATTTGCAGCAGTGCCAGTGCCAATGCCCAAGGTTCCTGGCTTATCAATACATTTGATATCTTTGCTGTAGGCACTGCGAACGTCGTCGCGACGTTCGTGGCATCCAATTGGTACGCTGCATTGGAGTTCCAACCGCATCCAACCGTTCTCGCCCTCACCCTAACCCTCGCCCTCGCCCCAGCCACAGTCCCATCCGCAGTGCTTCCTTCACGGCCTGTTGGTATTTCTTTTGCCTTTGAAGATTGGTTGCGTTTGCGTAGGATTCATGTTGTTACTTTGATGTGGACTGCAAGTCAACGCCATTGTTGTAGTTGTTGCTGCCGATTCTGCTGGAGCTGCTGCTGGAGGAGATGCTGGGACGTCAGTTAACATTTCGAATGCCATACAAATCGACTATCGGACAGTGGCAATGGGGACGGGGACGGGTACGGGGACGGGACGGCTGCCAGGGAGGGGGGCTTTGTTTTTGCTCAGTGGCATTGTTGTATTGAATTGTAGCTGGTAGTTCTGTTCTGTACAATGTTTCAATTTCCTCTTCTCTAAACATCGAAAAAACCAATTACCAAACTGGCAAAATCGCCAAAGTTTCACATTTCCAAACGGGTTTTTATGGTGTTTTGTTTTAATAACCATTTGATGACCAAAATAAGGTAACACACATATGAATCCTCGAACTCTGCATTTTCGGTCAGTTTATGCACTGACTTTGTTTTGTTTTTGAAATTAGATGTTGATGACTAAAACAGAAACTAACATCACAAAACCATACCTAATGCTCAAATTATTATTTTTCATATGAACAGACATTGAATGTGTATCCCACGTCAGTCTCTTTTAGTATTCCAAAGACTACACATTTTTGGAAATTATACTTTTTTCCGCCACCACTCGTGGAAATACTCGACATTAGAGCTTGAGTGATAATTCTTAATCATACATAAGGTTGCAGGTCGAAAATCAAAATGCTACCATAAGAAGAAACATATTTTGCTGTTTGCTTTGGTTATCTAAAAACAGCTGAATCCGATCCAATTTCTTATAAATTTTATATTCAGCCATGAAAGCTGTATTGAGATGGAGCACAAAAAAGATTGCCCGGTCTGTACATCAATGGATCGTTTTTATTGTACTGCTGTACGTTGCAATTTGTGTTCAGTGTACGATAGATGTGTACTCCTCGGGCTGGCAGCCGCAGGGCGTCGCTTACCAAAGCTGGACACATGTCCGCACATTTCAGTGCTTAGTGCAGGCAGGATGGATGGATGGTAGATACTCGTACTTGTGCAAGTGAGCTGCGCTGCAAACCAAACCACTGCAGTGGAGACCACCGACCACCGACCACCGACTACCGACCGCCAACCACCGACCTCCGAGCACTGAGAGGAGAGGAGAGGAGAGGAGAGCAGCCAGGCCAAGCCAGGGACTGTGGATTGGCGTTGGTCCATGTCCATGTCTCCGTCTACGTGCATGTCCAAGTCGAGATCCGAGCTGCAGTCAGTGCCAGAATTATATTTATTTATTTATGTGGGTTTTTTCCAGCTGCTGGCAGGATTTCAACATTTGGTGCGTTTGACAGCAGCCCAGGCTCGCTACTTGTCTCCCGAATGTCATGAGTTATGTGTTGGCTCCAATAGAAATGGAGGCAAACATAGAAGAAGCAAAAAGAAAAGAAAAGCATCCAAGACCCAGGTCAGGCGATGGAGCTGGAGATGGAGGTGGAGACGCAGCCAGACCGAGCCGCCATTTCTTTTGCATTGCGCCTGTGCGCACAAAAGTGTGTCGCTGTGTGTGTGTCTGTGCTGTGACAGGAGGGTTAGGAGGGGGAGTTGGGGAAACGCCATGGAAGCACAAGAGTTAACCATGTATAGGTTGTCGTTACTGCCGCTGGGCACAAGC